TATCCACTTCTCCTATCAGCTTGCTCCTTGTCAGCTCACTTGCATGAGCACACCTGATTTGCTCTCAGTGATGCCCCTCTTACTCTCAGTTTGAATGCCTCTCTAAAGGGTTTAGAAAGAGGCAGATACCAAATTACATTTATTTCCTTAAATTGCTTGCATTTAAAGTGGTTGTAAACCTCTGAAATGAAAAATGAGTAGAGCATATCCTTCTATAGTGTGCACTAGCCTTAATCCAAAGCACTGAGTGTGATTTCTAACTGAACTATCTTCCCTCTGCTATCTGCCTTAGTCACTTCCGACAGGTTATGCTGACAACACAGAATCTTGGGGGCAGTCTCACCCCACCTGCAACTCACAGAAGGTGATTGACAGCCTAAGCTGTACATAAAACCCTAAGAGACTGTGTAGAAGGGGGTGTGTCCTTTCCCTCCACTGTCATCATATTCCCACCCCCTGCCTGCTGGAGCTGAGAAAAAGCCTTTGATCCGAGTGTTTTGGAAGGCTATAGAGAATAGAGGGCTACAGATAAACAAGTACAACTTAGGAAGGAGGATTTGTTTAATCTCTCTGTATCAACTGAGGCTTGTTATGCCAGTAGATATATGTAAGGGTTTACAACCACTTTAACAAACAAGTGTAATGATGTATTAATAAATACAGTTTTAAGCCCCTGGTTGGAGATCACTGGTCCTGAATATCTACAATATATATTTACACACTCAGAGTCTCTAAAATATTTATCACTGTTCACACTCAACATTTTACAGTTGCCATACCGGGATTTGTGTCTGTCTTAGTTTTTCTTCAGCTACCCTTCGTCTTTCTTCTTCCTGTCGAATTCTTTCTCCTTCTTGTCGAACTCGTTCTTGTTCTTGTCGAACTCGTTCTTGTTCTTGTCGAATTCTCTCTTCTTCTAACCTGATTCTTTCTTCCAATTTACGCTTTTCTTCTAATCTTAATGTCTCTTCTGTGTTCACTCTGTTCACTTCAGCTCCAGGGTAGGTAACCGTGGAAGAGCCTTTGATCGGGAACATTGGGTTGATTTTGCTTCCTACTCGATTGTAAACGAGAGCACCATTTTCATCTTCACAGAACTGGTTCACCAGTTTAGATTCCAAAGCTGTTTACAGATAATCCAATTAATAGGACATAAAAAGTAATTACCGTATTCTAAAATTGGTATTAAAGTAGAACCTCGGCTAAAGCCTAACTAGTCTAAAAAATGCCCCCCCCCCCTCCTAACACCTATTCTAACTAACCTGTGTAAAAAAGATGTATATACTTACCTATTTTCAGCCCACTCCAGTCTGGTCATGTGATCACTGTGAGCACTGGTGGCTGCAGGGGAGAAGAGAGAGCATCCGACAATGGTGTTGTCAGTGCCCCTTCCTCTGCCCTGAAGCCATCATTAGCTGATACAGGGGAACCAAATCACATGACTGGACCAGAGGAGGCTGAAAATAGGCAAGTACAGTATATATATATATATATATATATATATATATCTTTTTACACAGGTTAGTTTGCATAGGTGGGGGGTGTGGGGGGCATGTTTGGGAATAGTTAGGCTTTGGCTCAAATTCTACTTTAAAGTCAATTTATTTTCCCTAATATTGTAATAATATAATTTAAATGCATTTGATGTCTGTTCAGTACATTTCCTCCATTTTTTTCACTTTCTTTTCTAAATATTTTTAAGCCATTGGAATACTAGTTACTAGGTAAAAGAACCGCAACACATTTTTTTTTTGCATATTCATGTATTTGTAAGGTGTTCCCATTGAAATCTATTGGGGCCAGTTTGAAGCTTGTAGCTCAAAAGAAATGAATGTACTTTTTTCGAGCTGCAAGTGACACTATGTTCAGGTGTGCACAGGCACAATTCGAAACATTGGGATTTTGGATGTTGAGTGTTCTGAAGCTTTGAGCGTAGAGCTAAAAAATGCTCAATTGTGAATCAGGCGTTACAAGGCAGATTTGAATCTGATTGGTAGTTTTAAAGCTGACCTCCAGACAATAGTTAAATACACAAGTGAAATATGCTTAAGAGAGTTTACCTGCCAAAGGATTCGTATATATCTGTTCATCCAGTTCTAAGAATTAGAAAGTTCAGCCACACAACAAAGCGTGTCTGTCAGGGCAGGAGACCTGAATTTTCTCTGCTGCAGGTAAGCAATACTTGCAAGCAGGGCTGTTTTTCAGCGGGAACGCAGGGGACACCTCCAGCATGTAATAGAAAGGGGTGCTGGGGTATGTTCAGGGATCTATAGATACTGGGGGGGGGGGGGGTCAATTGTGGCTGGGAGGGATCTACTGTTGAGGGAAGGGTCTTTTTTTGCTGGCTGCTGGGAGGTCTATTGATTCTGGATGCTGAGACATCTATGGTGGCTGGAGTGGATCTATTGTTGTTGGAGGGTTATTATGTTTAAGGAGGGTCTTTTGTTGCCTGGGGGGGTTGTTTTTGGGGGGTCTATTGTTGTTGGCTAGGGAGCAGGGCAGTTTTGCCATATGGTCAGCCTTGTGTGGACTCCACTACAGGGGGTGTTCAGGGTGGGATTAGCCGTGAACCTGATTTTCGAGTTTAGGTATGGCAAGATATATACTGTATACTATATACTATTTATATATATATTTTTGATACACTGTTCTCTTTGGCCATCGTTTACTTAGCTATGGACCTATGTGGTTCTTGTATTTGCAGAGATGCACTGGCTTTACTATTCCATATGCCTATTTTGATTTCTACTTTGTGGAATTGATGTAGTGTATCATATCGGCCTCATTCTCCGTGTGTTCCATCCTTGCCTGTACCATAAGAAGATTAGAACACAGTTTGGCATTAGGTTTTTACTATTTGATATTGAAGTGGTCTTTACATTGGCTAGCTCTAATACAATGGTAATATGTTTAATTATCTTCCCTAATAATTAATGTTTTACCTTTCTCCTTTCCCCCTTCTCTGGATTGCTTTAGATTTTATATACGCTGCTTAGCAACCATTGTGGATGAGCGGATGTTTTTAAAAGCCTTCATATATCTCCTCTACAGTTTTCACTTCAGTAAATATTTTCAAGTGGATTTTTGGGCTTTTTTCAGGAACTACCTAGTGGTGCTTCATCCTTGAGGGATCCCCCTGCTGACTTGCCTGACACACTGTTGCTCCATGCGTTACCATCATTCATCCTGACACACTCTCTGCTCTGTAGCTGATACCTCAAGGTATTTTTGGATCTATATAATTAACAAATAATTTTATACTATGTAATATCATGTTATACTTATATTCAATCCTTCATTTATGTAGTAACTCCTGAAAAAGCGATACTCTCACGAAACATGTTGAGTAACTACAGAGTAACTACCAAGTGATTACCAATATAGACATCTGATTTGTCTTTTGATACCCTTACCGGGGTACGGTACTTATGTGTCACTTTTAATAATTTCTGACGAGTTTTCTAATCAGCATAGAATGCTCTGCTCCCCCCCCCCTTTTTGGGGGGTCTTGCATTCTTAGCAGGAATAATATGTATGTAATTGCTATGTAATGGTCTACATTTCTACAATAAAGTGATTTTAAAGATATCTCTGTTGCAGTGCCTCTAAATTCCGTAATTTGCCTTTTAATTTTCTTTGGTTCATTCTACTTATTATTATGGAAGTGGCACATAGGAGCCTGTTATATGGTCTTAAAGTTTGTCACTCTGTATTGGGTATCTTTCTATGTTATTGTTGTTGGCTGCAGGGGATGTATTTTACTGCTTTTCTTGTTATCAATAACAAATTCCATACGAATTAATTAGCACCACAAAATGATTCTTGGTTCTGTATTCTCTAAAAGGGAAGGTACTGGGAGGTAGGTAAGGGGTGGAACCAACGAGCAGCTCATCTCAGAGAAAAAAAGCCCTGATTACAAGTGTTGTCCCTCCCCAGCCTGTGACTATACAGTGGAAGGAGAAGCAGACTCATGAGCTCATCTCACTCTGCTCTTTTCTTATCAGCATGTCCGTTATTACTACAATTTAAAAAGTGAGCAAATATGTACAGACACACAAGCTGTAACTTCAGGTAACTATATTGTTACCGTATTTTTTTCGCTCGATAAGATGCACTTTTTTCCCCCCAAAAAGGGGGGGGGAAATGTCAGTGCGTCTTACGGAGCGAATATGGAGCGGCCGGCAGGGGCATATTTACCAGAAGGCAAACAAGGCATTTGCCTAGGGTGGCATTTTTCAGGGGGGGCAGCAGCATTTTTCAGGGGGGCAGTGCCGTCCCCTGAAAGAAGGAAAGGAAGAAGGGACACACGCAGCACAGGGACCAGGTGGGATCTGAGAGAGGCTGTGGGCTGCTTGATGGTGTATACAGAGTCTGACTGTTGTTCCCAGAGATGTCCAGAGCTGTGAAATTGAGTGTCTTATCTCTTCCCGGGGTGGGGGTTGCCAGGGTATGGGGGCTGGTGGTAGTGGAAGGCTCTCTCAGGTGGGGGGCTGGGGTGTTGTTGGTCAATCGGGGACCCACATTTTGTGTTGCCTAGGGCAGCACAAAACCTAAATACACCACTAGCGGCCGGTCCAGTATATCTACCGCCGCCATGTCAGCCGCTCAGCTCTTCTCTGCAGCAGAACCTTATCTGTTCCTCGGTCCAGCGCTGTACAGTCTTCCCGCGCCGGTACCTTTAGTGTGGGCTCTCGGCTGTGACAGCCGGGAGCCCAGTGCACATGCGCGAGAAGCGCTGCACTTTTTGAATGGCACGGTGTCTTCTGGGACACATGACAGGTCCCAGAAGACACAATCACAAAGCGCAGCGCTTCTCCCGCATGCGCACTGGGCACCCGGCTGTCAGCCGGGTGCCCACACTAAAGGGAGGAAAACTCAGCGAAAGTGGGAGCGGGTACCTGGCAAATTCAGGTACCCTCACCCTCCCCAAAGGTCAGCAGCCTCTTAGTCATCCCCTGTACTGTCTGCAGTCCCTGGTCATCCTTTGTATTGTCTGCAGTCTCTTGGTCATCCCTGTACTGTCTGCAGTCTCTGGTCATCCCCTGTACTGTCTGCAGTCTCTGGTCTTCCCCTGTACTGTCCGCAGTCTCTGGTCATCCCCTGTACTGTCCGCAGTCTCTGGTCATCCCCCGCACTGTCTGCAGTCTCTGGTCATACCCCGCACTGTCCGCAGTCTCTTGGTCATCCCCTGTACTGTCCACAGTCTCTTGGTCATCCCCTGTACTGTCCGCAGTCTGGTCATCCCCTATACTGTCCGCAGTCTCTTGGTCATCCCCTGTACTGTCTGCAGTCTCTGGTCATCCCCTGTACTATGTCCCCAGTCTCTGGTCATCTCCTGTACTGTCCGCAGTTTCTGGTCATCTCCTGTACTGTGTCCGCAGTCTCTGGTCATCTCCTGTATTGTGTCCGCAGTCTCTGGTCATCTCCTGTACTGTGTCCGCAGTCTCTGGTCATCTCCTGTAGTATGTCCGCAGTCTCCGGTCATCTCCTGTACTATGTCTGCAGTCTCCGGTCATCTCCTGTACTATGTCCGCAGTCTCTGGTCATCTCCTGTACTATGTCCGCAGTCTCTGGTCATCTCCTGTAGTATGTCTGCAGTCTCCGGTCATCTCCTATACTGTGTCCGCTGTCTCCGTTCACCTCCTGTACTGTGTCCGCAGTCTCCGGTCACCTCCTGTACTGTGTCCACAGTCTCTGGTCATCTCCTGTACTATGTCCGCAGTCTCTGGTCATCTCCTGTAGTATGTCTGCAGTCTCTGGTCATCTCGGTCTCTCCTGTACTGTGTCCGCTGTCTCTATGTCTGCAGTCTCTGGTCACCTCCTGTACTGTGTCCGCAGTCTCCGGTCATCTCCTGTACTATGTCTGCAGTCTCTGGTCATCTCCTGTACTATGTCTGCAGTCTCTGGTCATCTCCTGTACTATATCTGCAGTCTCTGGTCATTTCCTGTACTATGTCTGCAGTCCATTGGTTCAGTATATTGTTTTTTCTTGTTTTCCGCCTCTAAAACCTAGGTGCGTCTTATGGTCAGGTGCATCTTATGGAGCGAAAAATACGGTAATTGGTTTCTTTTATTACCTGGAAGAGTGTTGAAGTCATCAATGAGATACATGTGCTCAGTATCCGGGTCAGAAGCTATTAGATTTAGTTCTCTTATGAATTCTTGTTGAGTTGGATCTGTAGCATTTACAATTCCGATGGCATACATTTGGATATTAGCGGCCTGAGCTTCCCGCACAGCTATGTCTAGCTTTACAGCTTCTCTCTTGTCCGTTTGACCATCTGTGAGCACAATGGCCACTTTCCTGACTCCTGACCTTGCACCAAAAAATCCTTCCTGTGTGGCCTTGCGAATGGCAGTTCCTGTATAGGTGCCTTCTCCCATATACATCATCTTTCTGATGGCTTGCTTCACATCTTGTTGGGTGGTGAATCTATTTAGGCCAAACTCTAAACGCACCTCTAAACTGTAGAGCACAAGTCCTATGCGGGTGGCATTTCGGCCTACAGTCACTCTATCCACAAGAGCAGTCACAAAGTCCTTGATGATTTCAAAGTTCTCTGGGCCAACACTTTCAGAACTGTCTATCACGAAGACAAGTTCCATAGGTATTTCCTTACATTTAACACCACAACCTGAAAAAAAAACAAAAACGAACAGGTATGTTTGCTGTGAAATGTATGTAACATAGGCTCAATTTATAAAGCTGTTTTCCCTATTCTCAACTGTTATTCTTTTGCTACTGCCCCTTACGTAACTCATAGCTTTAATGGGTCAATTCACAAAGAAGCTTAACAGGCTTATTTCTAGCTTGCTTTGTATGTAGTGGTGTGACACTGCCACATATTAATGGCTGTTATGATAAAAACCAATGTAGAGGTAACGATCAAACATAACTTCACAGTTCTCACCCCTTATACTAACATGAGCTTTAGACTCAGTTTGAATTTAAACTTCCAATGTTTCCTTATTGGAGAGAGAGACAAGCATTCTTATAAAAGTAAAAGGGTTGGGAACCCCAATGCCACTAGCCTAGAAGCAGATGCCACCACTGATAGTTTGCTACTACTATATGGGACCATAGTAAAGTCTTTCATCATTATCAGTAATTTTTCTAAATTCCTAGAACATATTAAAAATAGAATATTATGTACAAAAAAGTGCCTTACCAACTTCTTGGTCTGCTAAAACACAATTGTTGCAGCACCACTTATGATATCATACCTGGCCTAGTGAAAACTAATCAATACTGCTATTTGTATGGCAATCTCCACAAGAATAAGTAGATGTGCACCACACATTAGATAACTAAAGACAGACAGACAGCAGTACCCTAGGAGGCAAGATGTGAGCTGACCCAAGTAAAATAAAGGTTGAGATTGAAGTAGAAGAATAATGTGGAAGACAAAAACAGGCATTTGGAGTCTAAATGAGTGATAACTTTGAATACAACTCAAGTGAACCCTAGAATGACATAAACTTTGTTATCTATATTACAAATAACAATGCTTTCCATTGTAGGATGAAAGAAAGCAAATCACCTCCTAATAATGTTATTAATGCCTATTTTCTTGTAATGTAACATAAGAAACATTTTTCCTTACCACAAATTTCCTTTATCATCTTAATTATATCTTCTCTCTGTTTTATATAAAAAAAAAGCTTTTTAACATACTATACTTACATGACCATATGCAACGTATTCTAAGTACATTCCATTAATACTAGCTGACTTTTGGGCTTATTTAATAAGGCAATACAAAGTGTAATGACTCTACAAAGTGTATGGAATTCAGTCAAATTGCATTCTACAGTAGGTTAGTCAAAAGATGATTGTTCCTGGTTGTTTTAGATTAGTGCACTTTTTATTCAATCATTGTACTTTCCACTTATGGTCCATTTGTCAGCTCGGTTGGTCATTTATACTGTAAGATACTTACTGTTAATCCAGCTTCTCCTTTAGTGCCTTGTCTGCCCTGTAAAAAGAAAATATTGGATTGTTATTGGTTTAAGTAGAGTGAGTATAAAGCAATATTAAAGATAATTGATCAAGTCATATTTCTTAGATCACATATAAATAAACCTGTTGCTTGTAGGCAGACCAGCCCACCTCCATCCTGGATCTGGTGTTGATCTTGGCATGTTTCAGCAGAATGGCTTAATGGTAAAGTTTATGATCAAGCCAATCTGGTGATATGCATCAAAGCAACTACTTTGTACAATTTTACATTTTTTGCACAATAAAGCTCTAAACCTATATAATCTGTGTGCAATGTACATCTTTATTGGAATTATACAAGGTATTTCTTAGAGGCTAATTCAATCCAAAACACACTTCCTAATTTTGAGAAACTGGCTTGTCTAAAGAGTTGGAACACTCCTTATAATTGTCTTTTTGTTCTGAACTGGGTTTCTTAGAGGATATGCCACCACTTCTTGCCCCACCTAGGTCATTTTTATTAAAAGAATTACTTAAAAGAATAGAGTAATAAACATGTCTCCACTTGTATATATGTATCTCATGATCATTCAAGGAATTTGTACATAGGAGTACCTGTTTCATACGGTACTGTACATTACAACAGTACATTATAACCATATAGCTACCATAAAAGTAGGTCTTAATGGGTAGGGGGGTAGTCCAAAGTTTGTCCAGCCAACTAAATTTCAGTGGTTTAGGTTAGATTTGGAGTGTAGTTTGCCAGATTGATGCAAAGCCAGATTGATGCAGATTGCACACAGATTGATGCAAAGCCAAATTTTCTCAATTGATCATTTCTAGATGTTGATAGCTAGATGAAAAGGAAGAGGGATGGAGTTGTGTGGAGATATGTGTGCTAGTCAAGTATGAAGTATGATGCTACTTCATTTTAACATTCAGGCAAAATAAATGTTTAACTTCATGGTTTAACGATGTTACGTGCTTCTTTTATGGTCTATGGGACAGAGTTTATCTTACTGTGTCTCCTGGGGATCCAGGATCTCCACTGTCACCTTTATCTCCCTTTCTTCCTCTTTCACCAAAAGAGCCACGATCACCCTGAAAAATATCATGTTTATTGTAAGCTTTTATTTAAGAAAACATTTAAAATTAGAACTATTTAAGGAATGGAGCTTTGTTCTGACCTTTGGTCCCAGATGTCCTTCTCCTGGAGGTCCACGTGGTCCTGGCAAACCTTGAGATCCTTGTTCTCCCTACAAAATTAATTACACTTATTAACAATATTATATTTCATTTTATTCTTGCAGAAAGCCATGGGTTTAACTATGTTTCTATAATATTTAATATTCTCATTTTGAGCCAGCTCCTGTGAAAAGGAAACTTTACTTTCCTTTTCACAAGTTTTTTTTCTCTCTTTCCCCCTCTATTGGAAAAAGCGCAATAGCTCAAGCAGAAATATAGTGACTCCCGTGTACAAAACAGAGGACTAATGTATCCTTTGCTGGACTCCTGCATATGAGGTTTCACAAAGAAAAAACAAGCCTCAAATCAGGCAGCATTTGATATGCTATTTCTCAGCTAGTTCATAGTGCTTTGAGAATCCTTTGTCATGCATGAAATATTCATTTGTAAAACTTGGTTATGGGGGGAGAATATTGCCTAGGAAATGTCTCGATGCTCTGTCACCACTCTGCTAGCATCTGCATGCTACAAACCTGTGGAGCCGTGCACCTGTTCTTCACTCCAGGTCTGGATCTGCAGAACTCACCATTTTACAGAACTCAGGCTCTCTCCTTCTCATCTCAGTGCTTTTCAAAGGGCATTTGACAGGCAGTGAGGGACTGGTATATTGCCCCCTCACCACCTGATTTAACCCTATAATGCTTCATTACTATGCTGCATTGCACACAGTTGCAGTGCAGCCCTATTGATCCTTATATCCAATTCAGAATTTGGAATCCACCATCAGCAAGACCAGACTGGAATCACTGTAGCAGTGTACACAGCTATATGAGCATTTGTACCCACCTTTGTGTGTTGCCAATTTTTTGTTCATAAAGTTAGTGCTTGTATGCTACACTTAGAAGGTGCTGCTCTTTTCTCTTGTTCTCAGCCTTAATTTACAGGGATTTCCTCTCACTTCCTGTTTGGCTATGGGACAGAAAATGAAGGCAAATCCCCCCAATGGCACACACATGGCAAATATTAATCTTACAGGGGTTTTAGCCCTCCCTACTTTATCCAAAATGAAAAAAAATGTTTTGCCTATAGTTACACTTTAATTGCCCACCTCTGCTCTAAGCTGTCTCCATCTAATAGTAATCCACAAAGGTTGCTGCACTCCAAAAGTCTCTTGCTCAATATATTCTTTATTTTCAGTACATAGCTTATTATTGAATGTTCCCGCTCTTCCTTGGGTACAATCTTCATGAGAGGCTTCATGAGGACCATGCTTTCTGAATATGGTAGATTTTTATATTGGCTGGTCAAATACTGAGAGGTAGAAGCACAAGACTTATTGGTATAGGACATATGGACTGTACACACAGACAAGAACATAATTGCACAGGTATCAGGACTTATTTGACTGTGTCATCTTTAGGTATGTATCTTTGTACAGGAAGTAAATGCTGACCCAGAATGATGCCTGAACTACAATTGTGCTGTTCTGTTGGAGAGAAGCAAAGTAGAATAAAAGGGAAGTAATTTGGGGAATTAGTGCATGTCTCCAAGTATTACACTTACATATTACTTAGCAAACATGCACTTAACATGAAAAAAAAAATCTGCTTTCAAGTGGCTTTCAGTTGATAAACACAAAATATGCTTCTGTTGGTGTAATATTGATATGAAGGAAGCACTTTTGACTCAGGGTTAGATTTAATCCTCAGATTGATGGATGAGTATCAGATACATTGAGATACACTGTTGGCCACTGGCCATGAAACATCTCACTGCACAAACAAAAATATTAGTAGGAGGTTCGATCTTACCTTTGATCCTTGAATGCCTTCGCCTGGGGGACCCAGAGGACCAGGGAGACCAGATTTTCCTACATTTCCCTTTAAAACAACAAATATGTAGACTATTAGGATAGGTTACTATTTTGGAAGAAAAAGTTGGAATATAGCTGTTTTGGTCAAATACACAGTATAAGATTGAAACCTGAAATAATTAGTAGCAAATTACATGATTTAAACGTATTCATAGTCACATGATATATTAAAGGTTGTAAATTCATATGGGTGTAGAATGTGGAATTGCTGAAATCAATCTGTACAGGTGATGCCATATTTTCCTGTGCCGAATTTTTAAAAGATCACTTACTTTTGGTCCTGGTAATCCTTCTCCGGGAGGACCTGGTAGACCAATAGGACCTCTGAAACCTGGATCACCCTAAGGATAATAATATGAGTAATTCACTTTATGTACTTATAAGAAAATGAGAGCGAGTAACTGCTCACATGTATTATTTAAACAGTACCTTTGCTCCTGGTAATCCAAAACCTTCTGGGCCAGGTTCACCTTGTGGTCCTGAAAGCCCTGGCAGTCCCTAAATTAAAAGACAATTTCAGAGAATAATTATGGTGAACATTTAACCAGAGGTGTAGGGAAGAAGAATAGAAGCAACAACCTAGGGATTAGACAACACTGGCTGGAGTGGATGTGAAGTTTGCAATAAAGCAGGCATGGTGGTTAAGTGGTTGACCATTAAGGAACACAAACATCAAGAATCCAGTATAAAAATACTACTTACATCAAGAGATACCAGTGTACTAGTGAACTCCTTTCTGATTACTGCACACATTTAATTTGACAAAATACATGACTGGGTTTTCTTTCTCTCCTGCTTGGCAGATGGTGCATACCAGAGGTTCTCAACCCCAAGTATGCATACCCTTAGGTAGTATTATGACCCTTGTAAAGGGGTACCTCATGGGCTGTTTCCAATATGGTGGCTCATGTAGCAACAGTTTTTTTTAAATAGCTTAAATTAGCTAGAAAGTTTTATTCCTGCTTCTTTTTAGAAAACGATATATTTCAGTACATCTATAGGTCTGATATCAGCAGATGAATTAAAAAAGCAATTTAAAGTACAAAATAGGTATTTAGCTTATTTATTCTTAAATATACTTGAGGTACAGGATAACCATTTAACAACCACTGGTGTAAACCATTTAAATATCTCTTCTCCACATTTCTATTTTTGATCAAAATTTCAGAATGAAATAAACTTTTCCCAAACAGCTTATTTTTTCCAGTCTAGGAAGAATTGGTACTGTTGTTAAAATACATTTTCTTTTCTTTTTTTCCTAGTACACCTCACTGATGCTCCATTGACAAATAGATTAATTGTTTCACTTATGGTGGTGGTAGACTAGACTTAATACGTTGGCTGATTTATCCAAAAACAAAAATAAATATTTTACTCACAGGTGGTCCTGCAAATCCATCGCCCTTTGGGCCATATGGTCCTGGTGGTCCTGGACCTCCCCTATCACCCTAAAGAAGATAGGATTTTCAGATTTAGGAACAGACGTACACATTTTAAAATTGGTCTTTCAGTAATTTTACAAGTCACCTTAAATACATCCTTGGCATGTTACAGTTTACATACAAATTTGGAATAATTTTCAAAAAGCTCCATCGTTTATCTTTAAGGGCTTGTTAACGTGTGTCAATACCTTGTGTTTATGCTGCATTTATTCTGAATTTATAAAAAAATCATAACCACCCTTCAACACATGCCATGAATATTACAATGGCACCACACAGTGCCACAGTATTCACACAGGAATGGTAGAGTTATGTAGTGTTGTGTTAAAAATTAAACAGTATGTTGCTTTCATGAGGCATCAGAACTTACCAGCTGCCTCCATTGATTGCAATGGTAATGCTCTATAACTACACCTTAAGAGCTCCTATAGTCTTTATGGCTTGGTAGTAAAGCATCTATAAAGTGTTAGCTGAGCACTGGGGGATAGACAGTGGAAGTTCCTGTATCCCAGAATGCACTGGGAAATAATAGAGAACTTGGACAGAGCAGCTCAAGTCACTTCCTCTTTGTACAGAACAGCCTTGTGGTAACAGCATTTACTTCTGTATACAGGCAAATACATCAGGCCAGGGCAGCACAGTGGCTAAATGGTTAGCACTTCAGTCTGGCAGTACTAAGGTCATTGGTTCGAATCCCAACCATGACACCCCCTGCCTGGAGTTTGCATGTTCTCCCTGTGCCTGTGTGGGTTTTCTCCGGTTATTCCAGTTTCCTCCCACACCCTAAAGACATGTTGGTAGGTTAATTAGATCCTGTCTAAATTGGCCCTAGTATGTGTATGTATGAATGTGAGTTAGGGACCTTAGATTGTACACCCTTTGAGGGTTAGGGACTGATGTGAATGTACAATATATATGTGAAGCGCTGTGTAAATTGACAGCGCTATATAAGTACCTGAAATAAATAATAAATAAAATAAGGCCAGCCAGTAATATTAACAGGAGAGGCATTGAACATTATTGCCAGTGGCAAAGCTTTTTGTTTCAGCAAAGTTAAGCTGGACCAAGCTAAAAGTCAAATAGATCAAAATATACAAATCCATCGTGCAGAGAATTGACAAAAATGTCTGATATCACAAACTAACCACACCTCAAAGTAGATCATTTCCTCTACATCACATCCCCTTTAAGCATTTTCCACTTGAAAAGCAACATTTTCATGGCAATTAATTGAGCATTCTTGAAGATTTTTCAACACTTCATAAACACAACAAAAACAAGCCATAAACACATGATACATGCTATGGGCTCGTTAATGAGCATTGCTTGTTCTCCATAATCCATGCATTTGTGAATGAGCCCTAAACATCAGTCATTTAACTAAAGTCAAAGCAATCTGCCTGGCTGAAATGATTTTTTCAGTCTGCTGTAGGCAGGACGAAGCATTTCCTTAGTCGTCGCCCCCCCCCCCCCCCCCCCCCCAAAGTGATCGGTGACCAAGTGGGGACAATTCATAATAAAGATAAAAAAATACTCAAAAAGTAAAAACAACCATAGAGTACAGCTCAATAAATGTGAAAGTACATATGACTAACTGGATCAACATTGCATAATAGTGTGCAGTATGCAAAAAAGGAATCTTATGGTAGAGTAGAACTAAAAACTCATTGGGGTGTTTAATGTCACTTTACCTTTGGACCAGCAATTCCAACTCCTGGTTCTCCAATCAAACCTTGTGGACCAGGTAGTCCAAGGTCTCCCTTGAATAATGAAAAAAGATTTAATGAGTCATAGTTTGCCATTGCAAAGGTTGCCCAATGAAGATTTTACCTTTGTAGGCACTAGTAGCAAATATTTACAGGTAGGATTCTTCTGAAATATATATATACTATTCAGTGATTGTTTTTTACAAAGTATTTGCTCAACTGGCTACTACACAAGGATCTTTGTATATTATTAATTATGTCTGAAAGATTGTAAAGACCACACATTTAATACAGTAATATGTGGATATGTAAGCTGAAGATTATTTGGATATTTTCTGCTAGCCTTTACAAATGTTATGAATGCTACCAATTCAAATTATAGGATACAGCTTTGCAAATAGTAGCATTTACAGTAATCTCAATGACTTAAATTAATACCTTTGGACCCACAATCGCTCGACCAGGAGGACCTGGCAATCCAATACGTCCTAAAGCTCCAGGTTCACCCTAAAAATATGACACAGTGAAAAACAATTTAAAAATGTTTTTATTAGATATGTTCAGTTTATTTCCAAAATGGAGTGTTGGGTCATGTTATTTAGGGATACAAAACACTGACTTTAGAGTTAGTGTTGCCATATCAATTTTGCCTGTACCTACAAATAAGTGCTAATAATATGGATCACTCTGTGTTCAATTAGATAAATATCTGTGAAGGCAACATTGAATACTTACTTTTGGTCCAGATGGTCCTGCAGGTCCAGGTGGTCCTGTTAGTCCACGAATTCCACGCTGCCCTTGGTCACCCTAATAGAACAATGAATGTTAGTAAAAACTAAATGACTTTTCAAAATTACTTAGTATCCCAAAAACTAAATGACTTTTCAAAATGACTTGAATTATTAGTATCCCCTCCCTCCAAAATTGTAAGCTCCAAGGAGCAGGGCCCTCAAATCCCTCTTGTATTGAACTGTATTGTTACTGTATTGTCTCCCGTTATATTGTAAAGCACTGAGCAAACTGTTGGCGCTATATAAATCCTGTATAATAATAATAATTTTATACAGGAAACTTTATTACAATTTATGCATAGTAACTCAGCCCCCCTAAAAGAACGTTTGCATCCAAATCATTTTAAAATGAAACTGTAAAAAAATAAGTCTTTGTAGACATTTTCTATTGATAATGTATACCCTGCTCAGAAGCCATAAGTGCCATATGTTTTCTTTTTAGTTTCATGAAATGAGCATTTATTAAAAAAAAAAGGTAACTTGCAAGTGACGTGCTTTTAATTGCTTGGCACTCACCTTTTCACCTTGTATGCCAACTCCAGGAGATCCATCGGGGCCCCTGAGGCCTGGAAGACCTGGCTCACCCTGCATTGCAAAGAAAATAATAGCTTTATATATCGTATTTATTTAGAATTTATATTGTATACAACTATAGAGAAGAGACTAGATATAGATTTATAAACTTACTAACACCAACATCATCAATGTCATCATAATCATTGATATTAACTTCACAGTCAAAAATAATATCTATCATAATTGTAATTTTCAGAATCATTATGCTGTCTCATCATTTTTCATTGTCTTTAATCATCACTAGCAGAATAATCATTTTATTGGTAGCATTATCAACCACCTTAGTCACTGTCTTCGCTTTCCTTCTTTCTCATCAACTCTTTGATGACTATGATAGGGAAAAATATGACAAGGTGACAAAGACTTCTCATTTATCATCATTACTCCTTGTCTTCACTGCCAGTCTGTTAAGGTGTCCCGTGATGAGTGCAACAGGCTCATTTGAAGCATCCGATAGGCTTTATTAGGACTCCTGATGGAGGAGATAGGCCAGAAACCCTAGTGGTTCCAGTTTATTTTGTTGCAAAGTAACACAAGATCATGGCCCTTAGGTTGACTGGAACATAGGCTATTCTGCGGAGGCTGTTCCCAGGGCTGTAGTTGAGAGAGTAGTCAGATCAACTAAAAGGCACACATTATATCTTTGTAGGACATACACTCAGTAGCCACTTTATTAGGTACACCTTGCTAGTACTGGGTTGGACCCCCTTTTGCCTTCAGAACTGCTGTTAATTCTTCAAGGCAAAGATTCCACAAGGTGTCAACAAGGTGTTGAAAACATTCCTCAGAGATTTTGGTCCATATTGACACAACAGCTTCATGCAGTTGCTGCAGATTTGTTGGCTGCACATCCATGATGCGAATCTCCCATTCCAGCACATCCAAAAGGTACTGTATTGGATCGAGATCTGGTGACTGCAGAGGCCATTGGAGTACAGTGAACTCACTGTCATGTTCAAGAAACCAGTTTGAGATGATTTGAGCTTTGTGACATGGTGCATTATCCTGCTGGAAGTAGCCATCAGAAGATGGGTACACTGGCATTCGGTGTGGTCTTCTGCTGCTGTAGTCCATCTACTTCAAGGTTTGACATGTTCATTCAGAGATGGTATTCTGCATACCTTGGGTGTAACGAGTGGTGGTTATTTGAGTTACTGTTGCCTTTCTATCATCTCGAACCAGTCTGCCCATTCTGTTCTGACCTCTGATAACAAGGCATTACTGTCCACACAAATGCCACTCACTGGATATTTTCTCTTTTTCGAACCGTTCTCTGTAAACTCTAGAGATGGTTGTGTGTGAAAATTCTAGCAGAACAGCAGCTTTTGAAACACTCAGACCGGCCCGTCTGGCACCAACAACCATTCCACGTTCAAAGTCACTTAAATTCCCTTTCTTCCCCATTCTGATGCTCAGTTTGAACTTCAGCAAGTTGTCTTCACCACTTCTAGATGCCTAAATCATTGAGTTGCTGCCTTGTGGTCGGCTGATTAGCAATTTGTGTTGCGAAGCAATTTAACAGGTGTACCTAATAATGTGACCTGTGAGTGTAGGTAACTGGCAATAAGGCACAGCACTGACCACATAAAAGGCTGGAGCTTAAGTACCCTTCTGGTGAGAGGCCTTTGAGCACCATTTGGATTCCCAGCAGGGATTCTGCAGGTGCCATTGGAACTTCTGGCAGGTATTTTACAAGTACCACTGGAAGGCCTGGCAAGGATTCTGAAGGTACCGTAAGACATTCTATTTCATGGATAGGTGTCATCATGTTCCTCTTTTTAATCATCATCACCATTCTTCATCCAAGTCTCTTGTTTAAAAATGTTTATCATTCATGGCCATTTTACAGTAATCCTCAGTGTCATCTTTCATTGAGATCATTATCATTTTTGTCTTCTCTTTTATCATCATTCTTTATTATCATCACCCTCTCTTTCAGAATCATAATTAGGAATCATCATTTATCACCATAATTTTTATTCATTATAATTTCTCACTATTACACAAAATATAATGACAAATTAGTCAATTAATTAATTAAAGTCCTTAAAACAGTCCACAAATATGACTATGTGTTAGATGAAAACCATATCTTCAAAAAGTATTGTGCCACCAACAAGAAGAAAAAAGAAAAAACCCTCCACCATCACCATTCACATCCTCTTACCAGAGAATATGACCACAGATCATGCATTCAAAAACAGCAAATATGGAATATCAATGGACATATTGGATCTTTAATCTTCTCCCCCAAAAAGGCAGTTCCACCACTAGTGACTCACTGATAATGATCCAGTATTACACCTCAAAGATAATGGAATGTGTACAAAGAGTACAAAAACTCCTCAGTGAAGTATTTAAAATGATCCGGAATTTAATAAAAGTATTGCACTTACAAACATATGATGAAATCAGCATGTGAGATCTAAAAAGTTTCCAACCATCAAAACGGCCACAGTGTGTGGTTTGATGTCATAAGCCGTAGCTCCAACCTACGTGTTTCATCACAATCCAATGAATTTAAGGTATTAATCACTTGTGTAGTATCTTTCAGATAAGAAGGGGTTCAAGTAACCAGTGGCTGTAAAAATTAGTCGATATAACGGCCCACTCTAGCAGTAACAGAATCAATCCCACTGATAATGGGCTGTCCTGGAGGATTTAATGCATCCTCATGTACCTTAGGCAGATAATATATAACAGGTACACGAGAGGCTGCTGGTATCAAAAATCTCTTTTCTTCTTAGGTAATATTTTATTTTGAAAACCCTCATTTGCAATAGCCTGCAACGCTTTCGTGTAAGTGAAAGTAGGGATAATGAAAGATAAGTGTTTGTATCTGATAAAATACGTTCCATTTCCCCATAATAGGCTTCTAAAATGACAATGCCCCCACCCTTATCTGCAGGGCGAACCACAATGGCATTTCTCTTCTTAAGGGATTCTAGGCCAGCTTCAAATTTTATTATGTCCTTACCTTTTTTCTTAACGGTAACATTCTCCAAGTCTTTAGGGACCAAGATCCTAAAGACAGAAAATGAAGGTGCCAAATTACCCGGAGGAATAAAGAGGGATGCATTGGCCAAGGATGAGTGTCTAACCTCATTCACTTCAGAACATTCCTCGTAGGGTTAGAGATGAGATATCTTTTCATATTCAACTTACGTATGAATTTATGAAATTCCATAAAAGTTTCAAACTTGTTAAGAGGCCGAGGAGGTGCAAATTTTAATCCTAAATTCAATACATATTTTTCATTATCAGACAAAGTACAAGAAGTACAAGAACTTGTACTTGAAAAAGACCGGCATCTACTGTAAGGGATTTCCGGCAAGAAGAATCGCAATCGGGAACGCGCATGCGCGAAAGAGATCCCGCAGAAGAATTGCCGGTTGTGCGCAGGCCCGCAGGAATGCGCGATTGCGCACATGCACGCACACGTGCACACGCACGGCGAAGATTGGCGCCAGACGGGCTATTTAGGGAGGGCTTCTGCTCAGGTTCAGTGCTGACTGGTCTTCAGCTCCCCCCGTGACCTGCTTGTTCCTGTACGATTCCTTTGTTGTTGACCCGGCTTGTTCCTGACCCGACTCCGATTATTCTCCTGCTCCTGGTTCCTGACTTCGGCTCTGCTCCTGACTTTGGCTTTTCCTTCTGATTCCGTACCGCGCTGCCCGACTGTTGATGACCCTGGCTATCCTATGACCCTGCTCCTGTCCTGTGTTTTGGCTATCTACCTTGCTCTGCTGCACATCGGGCAATCCGCAGAACCTGCTCTGTCTGCTATTACGGTGCTCAAATCAGAGGATACCCTGCCTACCAAGGTCACCACCTGCAAGAGCCGCAAGCAACAACCACTGGCGCTCTTGTCCCCCTGGTCCCTAGACTCCCTCTGTTCCAACCTCAGCGGGGTCAGGGCTAGTGACACAAGTGAGGCCGACCTCGTCAATTCAGTCTCCCATCAGGTGCGTGACATCTACTATACCCATCTTCTTTTTTTTTCTGATTCTCCTCCCCCCTCTGGTGCCTCTTTTTGTTCTACCCCTCTGGGAGTCATACCAGGAGGAAGATTTCCAAATTAGAAACCGATAGATTTATACATTAAAAACATATATCCCGTTTGGTTTAAACATTGAATGGGACGTTAATGCTTTCGTTAATAATAGTTGAACAAATTTTTAGTGAGATCATAGGATTATGATAATTTTTGTTTATTCAGGATGTATTGATTATCCTGTTTTTTGATTGTATCATGTTAGGTTTTGACCCACCTTTTGATGGGTTGAGACTATTTAATGTCATCTGTTAATTTACATATTTTGTTTTTATTTCATGCATTTATCTGTTGGTTTCCAACCACAAGATGTTGCTGTGCTGTTTGTTGTATTTATTTTATATTTTTTTCCAACCACTAGATGGCTCATAAAGCCAGATAATGTATAGGAACTTATTGTTGGATATACCTTCATGATTTTTAACCACTAGATGGTATATCAGGCCTTAATGTTTAACATAGTATTTTTTAGTTGATTTTTTATAATTCTTTATAGTTTGTTATTCTTTTTTGGCCTTTATTTTATTTCTTGTTGTCGTTTTGACACATGGTTTGCTTATACCCTTGTAGTTCCGGCCTGTGGAGTGCAAGCTTTATAGGCTCTTTTCTATGGTGTCGTTATGACATCCGGTCTGTCTATCCATCTATTTTTCCGGTTCGCAAAGCGCAAGTGGCACGGGCTCATTTCCGCCTTGTGACTATTTATAGCGTGATGGGCGTCGTAGGCCATGCCCCTAATGACGTCTGTGATGAAACGCGTATGGTGGAGTTATGGCTTATGACATCATCAAACCACACACTGTGGCCATTTTGTTGGTTGGAAACTTTTATGATCTCACATGCTGATTTCATCATATGTTTGTAAGTGCAATACTTTTATTAAATTCCAGATTATTTTAAATACTACACTGAGGAGTTTTTGTTCTCTTAGTACACATCCCATTATCTTTGAGGT